TTTACAAAGTCCCAGGGGGCCAGATACCTGGGCAACAACAGGGGTCCAGGGATGCCTGTCTCCCTGGCCTGGCCTTGGAGCTGGCTAGTCATAAGGGCTACACTCCTACACCTGGCTTTTCATAAATGCCAGGAATGGTCCCTCCATGAGGGAACCAAACTGCTATTTCTCCCTTCTACTCTCTTTCACGTCACGCCCAAGACAAGTCAGAACCATGAGTAACTCTCTTTTAGAAAATGAATTGCAATGGCCAGAGAACAGGACCCTGAATTTTAACACCATCTTATAATTAGATTTTTTGGAAACACCAGGAGAAATGGACTGAAATACTGTATGTACAGGCCTTCATGGCTCTTATCAGAATTCCACCTTCATGGGAATTGCTGCCTTTGTTACACCCATATTCCTTTAGAGGAACCAAATGAGGAACCAGATATCCTGGGTGATCCCCTTTAGGGAAATATACCTCCTCAGAGCCTCCCCCAACCTCTTAACCTGGACCCAGTTCCAGCACCCTCAGCTCCTCCATCTCACCAAAATCCACCTTCGACTCTCCAGTCTTCTGCTAGTTCTACCATCTCCAGCCCCCAGACTCCCACTAGTCCGCCTCCTTACCAACCTATATGCCCTTCCCTGCCAAAGGAACAGAGCCCTGCTGGGGTCACCTGCCACAGCATCTCTTATCTTTCTGACCGTTCTAAGTTATGCCCACTTAGGGAGGTGGCCAAAGGGGATGCCGGGATCATCTGGGTACATGTACCTTTTTCCATGTGTGAACTAGCAAAATGCAGGCAGAGGTTGGGCCAGTTTTCAGAGGATCTACTAAATTCATGGAGGAGTTTTGGGCTCATTTGAATTAACTTGGGGAGATATTCATATTATCTTGTCCACGTGTTGCACCCCTGAGGAATAACAGCATATCTGGGCAGAGGCCCAGGCTCATGCTGAAAACTTGTCTGCTGGGGACCCTGAACAATACACTGTGGGGGGCCACACCTGTGCCTAACAATGAGCCTTAGTGGAACTATCAACAGGGCCAGGTTGATCTAAGAAAAATCCTACGGTGACATGTTTGGTGGAGGGAATGAAACCATATACCACTAAGCCTGTGAACTATGATAAAATAAGAGAAATAAGAAAAGGATGAAAACTCAGCTTTGTTCCATGGGTGCCTTTGTGAAGGACCTGAGTACATATACTAGCATGGATGCCAGTGCTGAGGCTGGCCAAATTTTACTAGAGACACACTGTATTAGCCAGTCAGCACATGACATAAGAACATTACAGAAATCGGCGTTGGGACTCTACACACCTATTCATGAAATGTTTGATGTGGCTTTTGGGGTATTCAAGAATCAGGACAGGGCTGAAAAGGCTGAAATGACCCAGAATGGCAAGCAGTGGGATAGATAGCCAGCCCAAACGATAGCAGTCACTGTAAGCAGGCCCTGAAACCTCAGGGTCACCCAGGAAGATGCTTTACCTCGGACCAAAAAGCCCCAACAGCAAGCCTGCTGGCTTCAAGTGTGGGAAGCCAGGACACTGAAGCAACGGCTGTCCTATCCAGATAAGCCTACCCAGACCCTGTCCTCACTGCAAGCAGTAGGGCCATTAGAAAAGGGATTGCCCTCAGCTCTGAAGGGGGAGGAGGACGCCCGATGCCATAATGGCCATAACTGAGGACTGAAGGGGCTTGAGGTCCCCAGCAGCACCAGCAAAAGGCATGGTCATCACAATTGAGGAGATACTTGACGTGGCAGGTTAGAATATCCTTGAATTCTTTCTTTTGACGGTGTCAAGAACCTGTACGCTGGCTAGGGTCAAGGTCCCACTGGCACCTGGGAGCCCTCCAGCTCACTCTATCAGCTGGGCTGCAGCAGCACCCTGCATTCACCGTCATCCTCAGGTTTCCCCCGACCTTGCAACGTATTCCTTTAGTCTGTCTGACATTGTGGATACTGAGAAAGAGAATTCTGTTTTCATTCTGAAGGACATAAATGCAGCCTGAGATGGAATATTTGATGGAGTTCTGCAAATTGAAAGAAGAAAACACATAGCAGCATCCGTGGTGTGAGTATTGCATGCCTCTGCCACAAAGGTGTGGTAAAATGGCTCTGCTAATTCTCCAGCTGGGGATTCTGACGATCGCAGGTGTGGTAAAATGGCTCTGCTAATTCTCCAGCTGGGGATTCTGACGATCGCAGAGCAGGAGAGGTGGTTTCCCACCAAAATCACACGGGAAGAGCCTGTTGTTTTCCTCTCCTTTTCTTTTTATTCTTGTTTCCTCTTAAGCAAATGCTTTTTTTTGAGTTACAGGACAATGTTTGAATTCAGTCCAGTAACATCTCTGAGTGCTACTTTATGCAAGAGAACCAGCAGAATGTGACAGAAACCCTGGGTTTCTCTAGCATGCCTGCCACAGCGTGTTCCCCTAAGCCTGGGTCCCAGGCTGCTGAAGTCTTGGATCAGTATGAGCCTGACCAGTTAGCACACTCCTTTCTGGGTGCCTTCTTACATTCACTCCAGCTTTCATCAAGTAACTACCCCCACCCTAGTTTCTCCAAAGCAGTTCTGGTTTGTATATTCTTTCTTTTCCTCCCCACAAATTACTATAAAACCAATGTCAGCTAGTTTCCTGTCAACTAATCCCCAAATTAGCATTTCTAAAGTCTACTTTAAATTTTTCTTCCTTCTACCTTTTTCTTACTCAACATAATGTCCTTCCATAAATCACCAACCTCACTGCCCTCTAACCCCTTGCACTAATTGGTTAATTGTTTCTTTCTATGTTGCAGAAAAATAGAAGGATCTAAGTGGGGGACTTAAAAAAATACAGAGCTCTTAAATAACGGGCTTGGAATTGAGAATCATTACAAGCCATAAATCATTATAGGCTTCCCCGGAAATGAATGAATGAGAATTTATCATTGCTCTTATTAGTTACACGCCTCCCAGACTTCTTCATGGGGTTTTCTGAAGCCCCAGGTAAGGGTTTAGGCACTGAGATGAGAACAAGCATGAGAAGCCCCACTTTGCCTGTGTGTGTTTCTGTATCTGTGTGTGAAAACAGACTGGGGGAAGGCGTTTGGTGTGGGGTGGGGAGTAATGGAGGTGGTAGAGTATTAGGTCATCTCTGCTGTATGTGTTGAGTGCGCCATCTGGTGACTGAAGCTCACAGAGGGAAGACAGCCTGAGGTCCTAGGAAGACAGGCACAACTCAGGGTTGGGTTGGCTCCTCTGAGTCAACTCTAGGTTGCTAAAGTGGCTGTATTTCAGTTTACCAGTGCGCCGGTGACAAATGTTGTGCACGTCATGGAGAGGTTTGTGTAAGTCATGACTTATTCAAGATAAATAATAAAGGGCTCTAAGGACCTATTGAGAAAAGCAAAAAGTACAGTTACACAATCATTCCAGACAGTAAGGCTCTAAAAGTGTAAGTACTCTGGTTGAACAAGTAAATGAAACACTTCTATGAATATGGGAAGTGCAAAAAGGAATTGAAGGAAGAGAAAACTGAAGGTATGGGTAGGAAATGAAAGAGAGAGTCAGGATAGCATCACGCTTTGTAGACTGTTCTAAACCTGGGTTCAAATTTCAGAGCTACTACTTACCGTTTGTGGACAGTAGGCAATTTATTTAAACTCACCAAGCCTCACTTTGCCCATCTATAAAACGAGGATCATTCTATTTACTTCCTGAGGGTGCTGTGAAGTTTAAATAAAAGAATACATGAAAATAGTAAGCCCAAGGCTTCACATGAAAATGCTCACTGGATGGTAGTTGTTATAAGCAGAGAGAAGAGAAAAGGAAATGAAAAGATGAAAGGGAGAAAGCCCAATAGTGTAGAATGCGTTAGGAAATTATGAGGAAGGAAGTAACATCTAGGATCCTCCCCCTTAGCACAGGGCTAGGTTGAGCAACCCAACAGGTGAATCCCATGAAGCCTGCAATCTATGACTCCAGTGGACTGAGGGTCTCTGCCCGAAGCCCTCTTTTGTTAATGTCTTCACAAGGTTCTGAGGGAATGCCTCAGCAGGGCCGGCCATCCTTCCTGGTACCCCTTGGACTTCAAGGTGTAGGCTGGCAGCTCTACAGTTAACCTCTATAAAGGACTTTCTCAGTCCCATGCTTGTAGCTTCTGTGAAAAAAGCCAAATGTGACCAGGGCAAGATGGGACTGATCAGGGCGTAACAACTAGGGGTGAAGTCTGATCCAGTGAGGGATGCTATTTGCATGACTGAGCTTGCAAGGAGGTTTCTGAGGATCCTGGCTTGCCACTGTTGGTGGCAGTTAATAGTGACTTGGAAAGTCAGCCGCCCAGCATGGTCAGAAGAAATATCCACGTAACCTGAGGCCCCTTCCTTCTTCACTGAATCCTCATGGGAGACCCAGGAGGTGGAAGCCCAAAGTTGCCTCACTCTCTCTTTAGGAACCTGGTAAGGCTATGTCTATGGATTACCTAAAGTCCTTCAGACATCTAAAGCCTCTGCAGAGGAAAGTACTGCACTACACACACACACACACACATGTGTGCTTATGTGTGCACATGTGCACACACACACACATACACACACACACACACACAATCAATGACTCGAGACCTCCAAGGAGGCCCTTAGTCTACCATCTGCAGCCAGAGCTTTGAAGCTAGAGATGATAATGCCCATTCCCTGATGTAACAGTCAACTGCAATCTCCACTTGCAGCCATTGCCTGCATTTCCAATCTTTTACCAGCTTCTTTACATGCCAAAGAGAAACTAGGACCAAGAATACAGTAATATGATCCCCAATTAGCATAAAATAAAAACAAGCTAGTCATGTTTTCCATGGGCTTTTCCAACCTCCAACTAAAAGCACAAAGCAGGGAGAAAGATATACAAATACACACATGGGACTATAAATACATATATACTGTCTGTGTCTGCACAGCCAAGCACCCTGACCGAAATAAGTATCTGTCTCTAAAAAAAGCCTGCGGCCTGATGCAGAAATCTGAGAATTTCCTCCTTCCAAAGTGCAGTGTAAGAACAGACTGGAAGAGAGGGTACCTCAATGACTTGGTTTGGAAGGGGTTAAGTCCCCAGTCATCTTATTCTAAAGTGATTTATGATGATGTGTGGAGTTTCAAAATGTTCCCCCACCCCAAAGAACAGCCCCACTCCCTCCTCACTGAGTCCACTCTGAACGTGCTGAAATGGGAAGGAGGCGGTGTTTTGCTGATCTGTTAAATTCTTAGTGAAGTTTCCTTGATTTCCAGTGGCTGCTGTTGTTTGAGTTTGGTTTGGAGCAAAACTGATGTAGTCCTAACATTTCTGGGGCTGAATCCAGGAAGAGAAAGAAGAAAAAGCAGAAGAAAAAGAGGAGGAAAAAGGTAGGGAGAAATAAAGGGAGGAGAGAAGCATAGGAAAAGAAAAAAAAAGTCCTTTTTCAACATCACATTCCTGTGTTTTCCCTCAGCCTGGAAAACATATTAATCCCAGTGCTTTTACGCCCGGAAACAAAGAGCCTAAGCCAGACTGTGGGGGAAAGGGAGATAAGAAGAGGGAAAGAGTGAGACTCAGAAATCGCCAGGACTGGACTTTAAGGGGCGTCCTGTGTCGGCACAAGGGACTGGCACACACAGACACACGAGACCAAGGAGAAACTGCAGACAAATGGAGATACAAAGACTTAGAAGGACAGCTCCTTTCACCTCATCCTACTTGTCCAGAAGGTAAAAAGACACAGCCAGAAAGAAAAGGAATCGGCTCAGCTCTCAGATCAGGGCAGGCTGTGGATCTGTGGCGGTGCTCTGAAAGCTGGAGCTGCAGCACACCCCTTTTGTATTGCTCACCCTCGGAAAAGAGAGAGAGGGCTGGGAGGAAAAGTAGTTCATCTAGGAAACTCCTGGGAACCAAACTTCTGATTTCTTTTGCAACTCTCTGCATTCCATCTCTATGAGCCACCATGTAAGTGTGTAATCCTTTCTGCCTTTGGTCTGTTTACTTGTTTCTTTGTTGCTTATTCGAAGAGATGAAATGTGAATGTTGTCACAATTAATATGCTAGTTTGCATTTTATTTGGAACATCCACAGCATTTAGTTGAAACAGTGCAAGCCTGCTGCCTGGGGAACTGAATTGGATTTCTTGCTTAATGTAACTGTCTCTGCTAAACACTGACAAATTATAGGGGCTTGAAAGTAACAGGATCTCATCCCATTTTCCATCTCCTGACCTCCCTCCTTCTTCTCTAACCACCCTTTCCCCCTCCCCTTGGCTGGGATGGAGAAAAAGAAAACCACCAGTTAAATGATTTTCTGTTTCCAGTTAAATGATTTTCTGTCTTTATTTCCCCTTCCCCTTTGTCTTATGACCTCAGAGCATCGCAAAGTGGATCACACAATGACATGGAGAATGGGACCCCATTTCACCATGCTGTTGGCTCTGTGGCTAGTGTGCGTCTCAGAACCCCACCCCCATGCCACGATTAGAAACAGCCATGGAGGGCGGAAAGTGCCTTTGGTTTCCCGGGACAGCAGTAGGCCAGCTCGGTTTCTGAGGCACACTGGGAGGTCTCGTGGAATCGAGAGATCCACTATGGAAGAACCAAACCTTCAGCCTCTCCAGAGAAGGAGGAGTGTTCCAGTGTTGAGACTAGCTCGCCCAACAGAGCTGCCAGCCCGCTTGGACATCAATGGGGCCCCCATGAGACCTGAACAAAGACCAGCAGCCAGGAGCTCTCCTCGTGAGATGATCAGAGATGAGGGGTCTTCAGCTCGGTCAAAAATGTTGCGTTTTCCTTCGGGGTCCAGCTCTCCCAACATCCTCGCCAGCTTTGCAGGGAAGAGCAGAGTATGGGTCATCTCAGCCCCTCATGCCTCAGAAGGCTACTACCGCCTCATGATGAGCCTGCTGAAGGACGATGTGTACTGCGAGCTGGCAGAGAGGCACATCCAGCAGATTGTGCTCTTCCACGAGGCAGGTGAGGAAGGAGGCAAGGTGAGAAGGATCACCAGCGAGGGCCAGATCCTGGAGCAGCCCCTGGACCCTAGCCTCATCCCTAAGCTGATGAGCTTTCTGAAGCTGGAGAAGGGCAAGTTTGGCATGGTGCTGCTGAAAAAGACACTGCAGGTGGAGGAGCGCTACCCTTACCCCGTCAGGCTGGAAGCCATGTACGAGATCATTGACCAGGGTCCCATCCGCAAGATCGAGAAGATCAGGCAGAAGGGCTTTGTCCAGAAATGTAAGGCAGCTGGTGTAGAGGGCCAGGTGGTGGAGGAGGGGAATGATGGTGGAGCAGGAAAGCAGAGCCTGGGCAGTGAGAAGAGGAAAGAGGACCTAAGGAGAGCACAGGTCCCACCAACCAGAGAGAGTCGGGTGAAGATCCTGAGAAAACTGGCCACCACGACCGTGGCGTTGCTCTCCCCTCCCTCAGTCCCCAGGGCTACCACCCTTCCTCCTGCTCCAGCCACAGCAGCAACTTGGTACACATCCCGGGTGGTAACAGTTGCTGCAAGACCTGTGACTACCACTGCCGTTCCCACCACGCAGAGGCCCTGGACCCCCTCACCCTCCCACCGGCCCCCCACAACCACTGAAGTGATCACTGCCAGGGGACCCTCAGTCTCAGAGAATCTTTACCCTCCACCCCGGAAGGATCAGCACAGGGAGAGGCCACAGACCACCAGGAGGCCCAGCAAGGCCACCAGCTTGGAGAGCTTCACAGATGCCCCTCCCACCACCGTCTCAGAGCCCAGCACAAGGGCTGCTGGCCCAGGCCGTTTCCGAGACAACCGCATGGACAGGCGGGAACATGGCCACCGAGACCCAAATGTGGTGCCAGGTCCTCCCAAGCCAGCAAAGGAGAAACCTCCTAAAAAGAAGGCCCAGGACAAAATTCTTAGTAATGAGTACGAGGATAAGTATGACCTCAGCCGGCCTACTGCCTCTCAGCTGGAGGTGGAGCTGCAGGTGGGGAACGTTCCCCTTAAAAAAGCAAAGGAGTCTAAAAAGCATGAAAAGCTTGAGAAACCCGAGAAGGAGAAGAAAAAAAAGATGAAGAATGAGAACCCAGACAAGTTACTTAAGAGTGAAAAGCAAATGAAGAAGTCTGAGAAAAAGAGCAAGCAAGAGAAAGAGAAGAGCAAGAAGAAAAAAGGAAGTAAGACAGAACAGGATGGCTATCAGAAACCCACCACCAAGCACTTCACACAGAGTCCCAGGAAGTCAGCGGCCGACCTGCTGGGGTCCTTTGACGGCAAGCGAAGGCTCCTTGTAAGTAACTTTTTCCTTGGCATTGTTCTATGGGCTGAGACAGGGCATGTTAGTCTGGCTGGCTGGTTTTGTAAAAATCATGTTGCTAGATGCCAGACTGTGGCTGAACCTGTACTGTGTTAAGAAGATCAGAAGTCTGGCAAAAGAGGGCAGCAGGCCAGTAGCTCCTTCTGGTTTAGTGCCCTATGAAGTTCTGCTCACACAACTCATGGCCCTGTGGTACAGAGTCAGTGGTTGGGGGGCCCTAGACATGAGTCCAGGGGAGCACCTGTAGTCAACTTCTTCCTTCATTTCTACCACTCTCTTCCAAGGGATATTTCTGGACACAGGTCCCTTTTACCAAGTCCAAAGGATGAAAAGAATGATGAAATTCCTAAAAGAGAGTACACTGACTTCAGTCACATCCTAGCAAAAGCATTTCTTTGCCTGACTTAGGAACTAAAGTCATGTCTATAAGACAAGAGCAGAGGTCCCCTCTTTCTCTAAGTACATCTGTACCAACATCGGGGCGCTCAGTGAAGGAAGTGACACAGCCTGGGTGCGTAGTGCGTATGACTGACAGTAGGGAAGAGTCCTTGTTGGTGTGACCCTCATGGGTCCTTCTAAAATTAGCTGGCAGAAATCTTCTCCCCTTAAAAGCTACCTCTTCCATCCCTATCCAACTGCTAGGAAGAGCCAGAGTGGAATGTGGGGAACTGGGTTGATTGCTTTCATTTCCAGTACTCTAGAGATACACCTGAATTTGAAATCTAGATGTTAGTTTCTCTGGCTCACTGTAAAATGAGTATGTGCATGTGCCTGTGCACCTGTGTGTCAAAAAGGAGACAAGCCATCCCTACTTGCCCTTGGTCTGCGGTTCTGAGTGCCACTCGTGTTAAATAAGTCACAGATTTAACTCAGCAACCCTCTCTTTTGACCATCACGTGCCACCATTAAATGAGGGCTTTGGGCAGGAATGAGCCCATCCTACATATATGGGCAGTTTTTATCAGTGATGTGTAAATGACTCCTTCTCCTCTTCATGTCTTCTCTTTCCCTCTTTTAATGCCCCTCTAAAATTTCTATCCCTGGTTTCTCAAGGCTAGCTTTGCAATCCAGCTGTCAAGGAGGAAAAGGATATTGTTACCATTAATTCTAAGTAAAAGATCAGTAAATTGATGTTGGGTAATGTGAGTCAGAATGATTTTCTCAGATGCCTGGGTGAGAGAATCAACTCATGCCATTGAGGGCAGCACTCATCCGAATGAACCCACCCCACAAGGTGACTGCACAGCCTGCATTCCCCCAACCAAAAAAGACAGACACTCTTTTCTCAAGGCATTTCTTAGAAGATCGTGTAGGTTTTCCAAGCTAGACTAAATTTGGGTTAATGATCAGGGCACAGTGACTCTGGTGCCCATTTATAAGTAAGTGATTTCAGAAAGTTTAAATGTGCATTTGAAATATTACTAAGAGTAAAGTTCCTTGTGATGTTTATCATGAGTGGGGCATCTCCCAAATTCTCTTAGCTGTTAACATAGATAGTGGGTGTACGTATTAGAGCAAAACCTAGCTCTGGTTGATTCTAAGGATTTGTGTGTGTGCCTGTGTGTGTTTTGTTATGTATTTCATGTATATTGGTGCAATATCTAACCACAGCCTTAAAGTATCTATATAAACGTAGGTTATTAGGTGATAGGCTGTTAGAGTAGTTTAACAGCTGCCTGGATATTCTCGGAGTACATAAATTTAAATGGGAATGTTCCCATTAGAACAAAAAAGAAATCAGATTTCAGAGTAAAACTCTACCTGATACTTCAATGTCTGTTAGGGAGCCTGTGGGGGGGCAAACTGCTCTTTTTGGAGCATGGGAAAGTGTTAGTGGGTTGCTCCAATGCTGAGTACCTACAACTTTGTCCAGGCCACCAAAGTACATCACCGAACTCTGTTCATTTAGCCAACAGGGCAGGCAAAGTGTTCCTCATGATCAGGTTTAAAAAAAAAGTCGTGGGTAAAATGTCAGGATTGTAATTGTGCACCCATCTGGCAAATATTTCCCATTGCTGCTAGCTTGTGAATCAAAAGAAAGGGGTTTTCATAGTGTATCCCTGATATGAGTCATGCTTTTCATTTCTCCCTGCTTCTCACCACTCCCTTAGTCAGGGATCTGAAAGCCCAGCTGGGCCCTTTCCACTTTTAACAGTATCCCTGGTTATAAATTTCTAGCAAATGAAACTCAAGTGACAGTTTCTGCTGATGTCATGTGAGGCAAAACAGAAACCAGCTGGAATTGCTCCTGGCAGTGTTGGTTCTTTGGGCTAGTGAGAGAACCAGGTTTGTTATTAGAAAGAAAACACTAACACAAGGCTTTTCAGGCTTTGATCCTATGTGCGTCCCGCTGATGATCGTATCAGAAATGTGTCTTCTGAAGAGCTAATGATGTCTAAAGTAAGAATGGATTAGAAAAGATCAGATGAAATAAACAAGATACAAAAACAAAAGATGGAGAAAAAAGAATCTTTCACCAGAGAGGAGACCAATGGGTGAAAAACATTGTTGGTGCCATTTCTCCTTTTCCACTCAGTTTTCCCATCACACTTGGCTGATGTTACTCAGGAAGCTCAGTGATTCAACTACTATTCATTAAAGTTTAGCACTCTTAAGCTGTTTAAGTATGGCTGAGAACAGCTACCCCCAACTGGCCTTAATCAGTAAGCTCTAACTGAAAGAAGGTTTACATTCCAAGAAATCGTGCAGGACTTTTTCAGCTTTTCAGTAACCTGGTACCTAACTACCATTTATTGTAAATCCTTGGTGCTTTGTCTTTACGTATACCATTCTTTAGATGTGGACACATCGCATAACTGCTACTTAACAATTACTTAGAGAAACACTGGCAGCAATGGTGTAGGCCACAGTTGGATGCATGGCTTCCCAGAGGCCTTCACAGGAGCTACCGGTGGAGCCAAGTGTCCTATTTTTAGACTAGTGTTCACTCTTTCAAACCTCCTGCCTCTAAACCTATCAACAAAGAAGGGCATGGCCTGCAAGGTACTTTGCCGAGACTGTGGTTTAATTCTCACAACAATCCCTCAAGGAATGATTTATTAACTCCTTTCTACACATGAGAAAACAGAAGCTGAAGTTACCCAAAATATATAGCTAATATGTGGTGAAGTCAGATTTAGAACTCAGGTCTGTTTGAGTTGAAAGTTCAAATTCAGGCCAATCTCCCTTTATGAATTCTTGTGGGTATGAGCTCCCTGTGGAATATGCCATAAAGTAAAGGGGAAACTGAGGAATGATCTTGCTAGTTAATAAATGCGAATTTTCAAAATTCATAAATATGAATTAAAAAAAATTTAAAAATTTATTTTCAACTTTGAGTCAGTCACCCAGATAAGTAGCAAGGGATTGCTAAGCACAAATGCAGAGTTTCTGCCTTTAATACATGGCGAGGTCTCTGCACTCAGTTCTCTGGCTTTTCAGACATTCAGTCAAAAATAATAGATTGGATTCCAGTTAACCTAATCCTTCAACCCGCTTGGTGTCAGTTTGGGGCTGATGATAGTGAGGTATAGGTAAGCTGCTTATCACCAAAACATTGGACTATGGGGAAGAGCTCACAAGCCATCATTCTGCGCTCTGAGATCTATTCACTTGTCAGTTAACAAAGGACCTCAAATGCTGAACTGCATGAATCCAAGTGCAAGTTTAAGCATTCTTTGGTGACTGAATCTCCTGTAAATCAAGTGGGTTAACCTTACTTCAACATCTCTGTATTGGGGCAACCTTACTTCAGACAGCTCTGTATTGGGGCAACAATCTACTTACTTGGTTTAATTTTAGAAAAGGATTTGAGGTTTCCTGTTGCATTAAGGCAGACTACTAGCTTGAAAGTTATTTTTCAGAATCCTGTAAAAAAAAATCTAGTGTTTTGAGCCTAACACAGTATTTTGAATAATCTGAGATTTAAAATATCTTCCCTCTAGCTTTTTTCCATTGCTGTTTGCTCTTTTTACTTATGCAAACAGGCTTCCTTATCCTCTGAGGCTCATTGAGCCAACACACCAGTTGGAACAGAAGCATGAAAAAGAAATACAACACAGTTTTAAATTCATGATACATGCCCTGATTTATTGCCATCAACTGGAAAGAGGCCAAGTGACAGAAAATAATGTTTACTGAGGAGTTCTAAGATGCTCTTTTTAGGAAGAGGGGACTGGAAATCGTTTCCATTTTAAACACTGTCTGAAATACTGCCCAACTAGAAAGTGAGCGGGATGGAGATGTCAAAACACAGGGAAAGAGTCCCCGAAATGGGTTCAGATGGTCAGCCTTCTCTATTTTCTCTGTTGCAAACTTGAGGACCAGATTAAATGCAAGGAAAAGTGTCTTTACCAACTGGTAAAGTTGTAGCCTGCATCTAGACATTCGTAACCACGGGGACCCTTTGTTCCTGAGTCCCTCTCCTCTCCTCTGACTGGGGTGATCTATGTAACCTGAGGAGTGTTGGCCAGCATTTGTGCCTCTACTAACTGCAGTTCAGTAATACAGTCTGCGGAGCTTACATTCTGCCTGGGGAGGTGTGACCGTTATATGGTAAATGAAGGAAATATTTAAATTCCAAGTGGTGGGGCAGACAATAAGAAGAATAATTAAAAGGAGGAAGTGATCCCTGCATGCTAGAAAAGACTTTAAGGAAGATGATGCATTGAAAGTAAGATTCAGATTTAGGGAAGGAAGGGAGCTTCCAAGGTAGGAGGGTGGCAAGGGCAAAGACAGAGGAAGGATTGTGGGTGAACTGTTCAGAGGCGACATACCTGCAGGTGCTTGCGGGACACAGTTTTTACTTATTAGGAATAAATAAATCTGTAATAAGTATATTTTATGTACCTATAAAGATATACAGATATATTTACTTTTGCTCAGTTCTCCCAACATGATGAGGTTGGCAGGAAAGCTGTTTCATTTTAACAATGACAAAGCTGAGGTTCAGAAGATTAAGTGGTTTATTCAGGCTACAAGCATGCCCGGGGTTGAACTAGGACTGAAATGACAGCGCCCTGACTTTGACTGCAATTATTCTTTCTCTGTGTCTCTCTGTCCAAGATTCCTTTCATTTGCTAATTTAGACTGGTCTGGCTCTAGGGAGTAAAGAGGTCAGGTAAGGGAGGTAAAAGAGGACATTACCAACAGAGAGCCCGGGGCCAGAACGTGGAGGGCCGGAAGTTAGAAAGTGAGTCCTGCAGAATGAGCATCACCTTCCTGGTGGTTAAGGGCATTCTTGGGCAAAAGGTCTGAAGTGAAAATAAACATCAGAGGCTCTTATTTATTTGAGATTCCCACTGGGCATCCATGGCCTCATGCCACTATGTATAGAGCTATGTGGGAGAACCTATCACACAGGGGAGGATAAGGTTCTATGTGATTACATAGTGTCCGAAATTCCTAATATACACAGGGGGAGAAGACTAGAGGAGGGCTGAGGACTCTTCAAACCCTATCATAGCATGCTCTGTCTGTGGATTGTAAGGCAAAGTATGAGATGAATGAAATGGAATCTATGTCTGAATCTGAAGCTACAGAAACAGGTAATTTTCTGTCATCTGACATCTCAGCAGCTTTGCCTTAGAAACTCCTCTAAATAAATTCTAAATATGGGGTTATCCTTAATTTAGAACAGGGAATCCAAAACCATTAACATTAAGTCCCTTTCTGTTACCTTTGTTTTTTACCATTTTGTGTTTTTACTTAAACATTCATTTTATTTCTTGCAGAACAGTGTATTTTTGAGCACAGAACAGTCAGAAAAAAAATACCTAAAATATACGGACTTAAAATAAAACTTAGGAATCTGGGCTCCCATCAAAATCTGAAAAAATATTTTCAGATGCCATAAAACTAATTAAAAACAAACCAAGCAATGAAAAACACCATCACCACATCTTTTTATAGCTGCCTTAAATCTTGTTTTAAGGCTAAATGTGAATCAATGAAAAATGTGGAGAAATTTTATTTTTCCCCATGGGAAATTATGTTCCTAAAACAAACATTTCCTACCCAGAATGTCCATATGAACAGGCATAGAAACACATGAGAAATAAACTAGAGCATGTCTATTTAAAATTAATTATAATCTGGAAAACAAAACAAAACAAAAACTTCATCCCAGAAAAACCTTTGTTAATGTTCCATTCAAAGGCGATTGAGCACTTTAATTTCCTTGAGGGAGAGTATTTTGTCACGTGGAGAGAGTGCTTAGAAGGGAAAGCCTGCAGGCAGTGATACAGACATTTCTGATGCAGAAAAATAAACTGCAGGATCAAGCTAAGACCAGATTTATTAACCATTTTTGATAAAATATTTGGAAGAGGTACACAGCCTGGTGACTTGCCCTCTGAAAAATGCCAGGCTAACAGTCATGAACTTCAGAAATAGGTTATAAGCTTAGGTGGATAAATAGAAAATTGGTAGATAAATTTGAATTTAGTCAAATGCAAGAAAACTGGCAGATAAATTTGCATTTAGTCAAATGCAAGAAGTTGTTTACAGAGAAATAATTTATGGAGTTTTGCCTCCGAGCTTAGTGATGACGCAGCAAAGGCCAAATAGTGTTCACAGCAGATATCAGCCTGTGAACTATCTGGGATCGAGGGTCCAACAGAGACCTGGTCATCACCAGAATAAAATTTCACATCCTCTCACCTCCAAGGTGAGCAGCCCTGCACCCACTAGCTTGTGGAGTGTGGAGCAGCCCTGTACCCACTAGCTTGTGGAGTGTGGAACAGTTCTAGGTTCGGCTCAAGAAGACCTGGTAAAATTAGAGAAGGCTCAGAGAAGGGTAACTAAAATAATCAGGAGAGTAGAGAAACTTTTGTATGAGGTTAGATAAAAACAGTGAGACATTCTCAGAGAAAAGATTCAAGAGAACCTCTTAAAAATAGGGTTATTCTCACTGTATCCAAAATAAATTGCATTTCCTCAGATCGCTGATGACTAAAGTATTTCTTTTGATTGCTTTATCTGTCTTCTTTTTTTTCCCAGAAGACAGGGGTCACAGAGTGAGGATGAAAGACAGAGGGCTAGGTGAAAAATACCAGGTCTGAACTACAGAGAAGTAAAAAACATCCTGTTGGAAAACTGCAGTATCAAAAGACAAACACCACTAACTCTGTGCAGGCCTAGTGTGACAATGAATATATTCTGTGTGACAAAACACTGGCCTAAAAGTCATCATAAAACCTTTCTACAAGGTTTCCTAAAAGTTCTAAATCTCAGAATGTTTCATAGTGCCCAGGGCCTGACTATGAAACTCTCTTAGCTCTGTGAAATGTGAGTAACAGTGGCAACCACTGAATCAACCAATATTTAATCAGCCAATGAGAATAATGAAGATCAAAACTGAGGAAGAAAGATAACATTTATTGAACAATTATTGCATGCCAAGTATTTGTGTAATGTTCACAACAACCTTGCAAAATAAGTATTCCTGTGCAGGATTCACGAATGAGAAAACCAAGACACATGGAGACTAGCAATGAAGGTAAATAATGGAAGTGAGTAGAAAACTCTAAGCTGTCTTGGAGACAAAAGGAGGCCTTTCCAAATGGCCCTTTTGGGCCCTAATTATGCTAACTGTTCAGCAGAGTATCTGCAGCTTAGATGCAGTCACTGCCAGGCCTCTCTTCCAAATCATCTCTTTGGGTTTTGCCCCAGTGTGAAACTATCACTAATTTGTTTGTCTTCACCCACCTCCAGCTGATCACTGCTCCCAAGGCTGAGAATAATATGTATGTGCAACAACGTGATGAATATCTGGAAAGTTTCTGCAAGATGGCCACGAGGAAAATCTCTGTGATCACCATCTTCGGCCCTGTCAACAACAGCACCATGAAAATCGACCATTTTCAGCTAGGTTCTCTTAAACATTTTCATATATTATTGTTTTTCTCATATCTAAGGTGGGACAAAATTTATAGGAGAGGTACATGGGGGACCCAAGGACCCAAAAGAAAATGCAGATGTTCAGAGGGCTCTCTGGTTGTGGTAACACAGGTCAGTTTGCCTGCTTATTTAAATAGCTATTCCAGGATGGTTCCGGTTTAAGTTTTCAACACTTTAAAAGGAAAATATGCAAACACTCTATTGTCTGCAAGTCAGTAAGGTGGAAGAAAACGGGAAAAGTGATAGAGTGTGGGAGAGAATCAGAGGCAGTCAGACATTTTCTTCTTGCCTGTGAGCAGCCCCATCTGATCTTCCTGCAGACTCTGTGCTGCAGGTGGCTCATCACAGATGGGACCTGCCAGACTCTTGGAAGTACTTGACTCTGGCAAGCCTGAGGAAGGAATTAACCAGAGCTGAGAGAAGCTCTTAAGATAAATGAAAAGTCACTGAAAATATGGACTGAACTGCACTCAAGTCCTTTTGGAGAGCAGAAAAATTTGGCTCAATTTAGGGTTTTCACAATTTTACATATTAATGGTGCATCTGAGATTCATGAGGCATACAGCCCAGTGTTGGGCAGCTGAGATCTAACTCATTGCAGTTCTCATGGGAATATTGCAAGATTTACTGTGTTTAGTTAAGGCTCATAGTCAGAAGCCCCAAATCTGACCCACCTGCTTCTTTTATAATTATTGCATCTATAAATATTGCATCTTTATTTTTTAAAAAGCTTTTTTTCTCATATGAATTTTCTACTGTTTTGTTGTTGTTGTTCATGTTTTATCTAGGAAAAAAAAATCCCTTAGAGTAATTCTTTATATTCCATTGTTTTCATATTCTGCATAGTTCCATAAAACATACCTCACTTGAAAGATTATAAAAATATATTTAATAATATATAACTAATTATATGTTAACATTTAACTTCAATATATGTAATATATTATCTCACAGATTTTTCTGACATATGATCGTGGTATAATTGAACACATATCAGTTAGATTACGTCATGATAATGTCAACTTGATGTGAATATGGTCTAGCTTTCTAAATCATATTTTTTTATTGAGGTAAGTATAGCTAATGTGAAATCTTATCTCTTAATATATTTTAAGTGCACAATACAGTATTGATAACTATAGGTATAATGTTATATAGCAGATATCTAGAGCTGATTCCAGGTAAAGTATCAGTTACACCTTCTGTGCTTTGAATGGCCCATCTTCCTCCGAGATGGCACCCTTTCCAATGTCCCACTCTTTCCAATGTCCCACCCTTTCCAATGTCCCACCCTTTCCAATGTTTTATCCTTTCCAATGTCCCATCATAAATTATTTGGATTGATGATTCATTTTTGGATATTTACCCTGCACTATATGTATATTTAGGGGGAGAAAAAGCAAAAAGGAATTTTCTTAACCAAAACAACAACAATAATGATCATACAAACAAAAGAAACAAAATAAATTCTGGAGATAGACAGATTTAAATCCAGGGTCACAATTTACTCGCGTGACCTGGGGCAAGCTACTCCTATGTCTTTGTTTGGAAGTCAGTCATACCTGTTTCACAGGATTAAAGAAGATAGTGTACAGAAGTACCGGTCAGGTAATAGGCACTGTTAGGTGGTCATCCTCCACATCACCATTTCATCTGGTAGTCATGTGGACATCAATGATCAGGTAACACTTGTCACTAGAGCACCTATAACCAAAATACTTATAATTGCTTTGTGCTGATTACACAATGTTGACACATGAACCCTCACAACAGCTCAACCACATCAGGCTTCATTATTATTCTTGGTGATAAAACTGAAGCCCAAGAGACTAATACTACAAAGCCACATATTTACTGGTTAACTAGGATTCAACCACTTGTTTCCTGGATTTTTCAAATAATAGCGTGAGGGCAGTGAGCTTAATTGCACTCCAGATGTCCAGAAAGGAAGCAAGTATTCAGTGCATCACAGAAACGGTGCTGGCTGGTGATGAAAGCCCTCACAAACCAGGTGTTCCCAGTGTCAAGTGTGTTACCTACCAATGCTTTCACAAAGTGTTCTCATTCCTCATTTCAGAGGGGTTTGGAAAAATCATTATATCTTCCACCTTAAATTCTACATGGTCCCATTATAGGCATCTGGTACTGCCTTGGCAAATTTTTAGCATAATCCCGCTGTTTTCTAGACATCTGGATTGAATATGAACTGTAGAAGGGCTGAGGGTTTTTTTTCTGCCTTTTTGGAAATCAGGTATTATGATTTGGGCATTTTTCTCACTGAATGGCAGCCTGGACCTGATTTTGGGTAGGGGGATCTTTTATTTTGTTTCTCATCTAATTCCCGGAAGGCCTCTCTCTCCCTGTGTCATGTCCCAGGTTACCCTTATGGGAAAGGCTGTAGCACTTTCAGCCAAGACTGGGAGTCAGCCATGGGAAAATAAGAATTGGCATGAGCCACAGGCTCAGTGAACCAAACTCCAGCCTTGACTGATTTTCAGTTGGAAATCTATCAGATGGCCTTACTTTTCCTTAAAAATAAATCAAGCCCTGCCTACTATTCCAGACTTTTCTGGCCCTTGAAAGCAGTGGCGTGCTTCCAGCTACAGTGTGGGCTGTACTCACCAGCTGGTCCATCTTGCTAAACGTATGTGGACACCACCGATGAACCTACAAACACCAAGAAACTTACCTTAAGTAAGACTTTAGGCTTTCATCTAAGGGAAGTTATTTATGCTTGAGCCAACTCCAATGCCTATCTGGTTTTATCAGCACAGAATATATCGCATGTGGGGTTTAAAATGGCCTAACACATAAAGTCATTCTTTCTTGTTAGTGGTATTTACAATGTCAGTCAAGGACAGGAATGTTGGGTGTGTATGTTAAGTGAATGGATTACAAAGTTTGTCAGATGGGAAGAAGTTGCTGGCTAAAGGCACTTCACTGCAGAATGCAAAAAGAAGTCGGGGGAAACATACAGCCAGCATGTTTCTTCCTTGCAGTATTTAGAGATGAAAAATATTTTAGCGCTGGCATTTTATCACCAGATTTTAAGAGCTAGAATACACAGGACATTTAATAGGGCAAGGGAAGATTTTTGATAGCTTCTTTTAAAGAAAGAAGAATTTGAGGGTAATCAAGAGAGGTGGCAAAGTTCATAGAGGTGGAATATGGCAACAAGGAGAGAGAAAATGTTGATTTCTTACTATCTAAGGACTTCATACGTGAATTTCTAAAGTAAGAATGATAGGCCGGCACAGTGGCTCACGCCTGTAATCCCAACACTTTGGGAGGCCAAGGTGGGCAGATCACTTGAGGCTAGGGGTTTAAGACCAGCCTGGCCAATGTGGTGAAATCCCATCTCTACTAAAAGTACAAAACTTAGCTGGGAGTGGTGGTGCATGCCTGTAATTCCAGCTACTTGGGGGGGTTGAGGCAGGAGAATTGCTTGGACCTGGGAGGCAAAGGTTGCAGTGAGCTGAGATCCTGCCAGTGCACTGTAACCTGGGTGACAGAGTGAGATTCTGTCTCAAAATAGATAGATGATAGATAGATGACTGATAGATAGATAGATAGATAGATAGATAGATAGATAGACAGATAGATAGATAAATTTAAATGAGAATGATAGTATACAAATCAGCCTAAAATACCCTTTCTGTCTTTGATCCTACTGAAGAGAATTTTTCTTTCTGGAGAAGTCTCAGAGTCATCAGGATTCACAATTCAAAGATACTGCTTTGCCTCTGGGGCAGTTGCCCCCAACTCCTCCTTTCATCAGTAGTGACAGTGCCTGGCAGCTGCCTTCTCTATACCCTGCAACACTGAGCTGGGGGGAGAGGCTGGATGAGTGCTCAGACTTCCACACACTGGCTGTGTGTCCCCCCCCCACCCCCCACTTATTTAATCTTTACTTATCAATTGTTCTGTGACCTGGAGAACAGAGAGCTTGTATCCTAAGCTGCTCAGTCTTCTCAGTCCACTGACCTTGCTGCATCCAACATCAATCATGTCAGTGTCAAGACTAATCCCTGACATTCCAAAGGGGGAAGTGCCTGCTATGTCAAACTACACAACAAGTGTTTGAAGAACGTAGTGGACAGATTTGCTCTTCCAATTGTAGTCATCAGATAAGGTATTGAAAATATCAGAGAATTTTGAAAAGTAGGTTGATTTAATGCAAGGGCCTTGAAAAATGAGTAGCCTTTTTCTTTGATAAGGTGATGACTCAGTCAAGGCATTTTTGTTTTTAATTTTTCAAAGAAATAATTTTTTTTTAATTTCCAAAGTCAAAACTATATAAAAAGGTATGCACAGACAAGTCTTGTATGCATTCTTGACCCTTTTACCCCGCTATTCTCTGCCCCCACAGGTAATCTTATAATTCCTTATTTATTCATTTAGTGCTTTTTAAGACAAATACAAATACATAACTATACATTTTTTCTTTTTATACAAAACATAGCATATATTTTATGTATATCATTCCACACCTTGCTTTTTTCACTTAAAATATTTCTGGGAGATCTTTTTTTATGAGTATATAGCAATCTTCCCCATTTCTTATAAAAAACTTGTGATATTCTATCATAGTTTAAACATTTTGTCTGTGGACACTTGGACTATTTTCAATATTTTGTTCTTATACATATATCACACATAGATAGAGTGATATATGAACAAGGTTACTATTAATTGTGAAATTGTGTATACATCTAAAAAGCAGGATTGTTAGACCAAACGGAAAATGTAGTTTGAGTGGATATTTCCTGATTTCTCTCCATGCAAGTTGAATGTTGCAATGCCACCAGCAATGTTTAAAAGTGTTTATTTCCCCAAATCTCTCCAATTAATGTATGTGATCAAACCTTTGGATACTCTTGACTAATGTAATATGTGAAAAATTGTATCAGAATAGGGTAGTGTTGGTTTGTGTTTCTCTTTTTATGCATATGATTGAACACCTTTTCGTGT